ATCGTTTTCTTTTGGCATGATTTTTTGGAGGATGAAAGCTTAATTTCTCATACGTATTTAAAGAGAGGGTTTAAAAATTTACCCTGAGTTTAGATTTAAAAAAATCATTTTAAGAGTTTGTACATTACTTTAAAAAAAAAAAAACATTATATTTGGACAATAGAAAACAGCAACCTTTGATTTTTCAAGGCCTTTCAATAAAATCCTGAAAATAATGTGTGTTTTTTTAGAAAAATATTTATTCACTTTCCAGAATCTGTAGCGAAACACACTTAACTTTTCAGCGGGCCGCATTGGTCCCTCGGGCCGATGGTGTCCCACATCTTTACAGTGAAGTCATTATAGATCGTTCATTGCAGTGTTTATGACTAATAATTAATTATTCGTAAGATAAAGATCCTAAACAATTTATCACATAAATAACCAAGTAAAAATACCACATCTTTACAGTGAAGTCATTATAGATCGTTCATTGCAGTGTTTATGACTAATAATTAATTATTCGTAAGATAAAGATCCTAAACAATTTATCACATAAATAACCAAGTAAAAATGTTAAAGTTGCCCCAACGCTCAAGATGTTTATTATATCCTTTAAAACACACCGACATTTTATTTGGAATAATGAAATATATTTGGACACGTTTTGTTATAGATGAAATGATGCAAGTTTTAGTTTTCATTGTAACCTAAGCCGTCCTGTAGGCTGTAGGTTTAGCTGTAAAAAAGAAAACACATAACCTCCTAAATCTCATGTGAAAACATTTTGGAAATATCATATCTATTTGCAGGAACATAAGAAGCGTACGAAGGATATCTTTCATCCTTAAGAGTCAATATTATGTTTAGCATTTAAGGAGATTTTTCTGAACGTGCACCGTGTAAATAATTAAATTAAGTGAACTTTTTCTATGCACTGAAGTTGTTTCGTTTGTAAAAAAATATACGTTTGAGACATTACTATCCTCATAATATGAACCCCACTACACAGGGGCAAATATTTACTAAATGCTAAGTTGGGCTAAATCTCAACAAACTTACGATTCTGGATTCCACACACATCCACTATATTAGGTTGGTATTACAAATTAGTACAAGAACAAGAAGGAGACACAGGTAAGTAAAAAAAGAAATATCTTACGTACGCTCCTAAATTATGTGATAATTCTAATGTACTATTTTTTAAAGCACACAGAATCAACATTGTTTCCCATTCGTGCACCAAACAAATGCGCATAGAAATCCTTCCTTCAAGACATGTTTGAAAGCACACATTTGTGAATAAAATTTATTACAAATTAAACACCAAAAAGTAAAACTAGAACTTCCCTCGAAACCATTAAAAATGTTAAAAACACTCTCTATCCTCTCCGGTTCACTTATTTTTTTTTAATAACCGCCTTAGGGATAAGAGGGATAAGGACAAACATTTTCCAGGAAATATTGTAGGTCAGGAGAAATAACCATGTTGCGGACACATGATTGGTGTACCTGTCATAGTGTGACCCACTTACAAATATAGACACCCCTAGATTTGTATATTAGAGTACTGTCACTAACATTCATTGAACATTGCGAGACACAAAAGTGAAAAAAAGGGGGGGGGGGGGGCAGTATGGTGGTTTTAATTAAGAAACGCATTATTACGGAAATGAAGCTGGACATAAAAATACTGTGTGACAGATATGTTCACTAATTAATAATTTGACATGTTAAAAAAAAAAGTTACTAGAAAAAGAATAGTAGATTGACTTGTAAGAGGGTAGAAGCTGTGGGGAAATATGAAGTGAATTTATTTAGACCAGGGATGATGGAAACATTGATATTGCGGTCTATGGGGAAGTAAATCAACAAATATGGAGGTCAAGGTTCGTTGTTATTGATCTGGAAATGATTGGGATACGTGTGATGCGGAAGTGATAACACTGTAAAAACTCGGACATTTTGGTGACAATTTATTTATTTTTTTTTATTTTGAGTCCGTCTTTGGAAAATCTTGTATTTTTTAAAGTTCTTAAGGGTTGTTTTTTTTCTTCTTTACATTGTTTTAAGCTTTATAAAGAGCTACAAAAGAATCTAGGGATTAACTAGGCATTCATCATTGGTTGTAAAAGAACGTAATCTGTCCATGGAGATTGCTACATTGAATTCATATTTTTTAATGGAAGTTGTGTCACAATTGAAACACTTCATGTAATCACATCAAGATTGACGTAACGATAAGGCTTGTCGTTTATCTGAAACAGGAGGTAGTTTTCACCACTATGTTTTGTCAACGAAGTTATTGCTGTTGCAAACCTCCTATTGTAATCCAAGCAGGACACATGGAATGAGTTTTGAAAGACAATTTTTACTTAATGTCATGGGTCATAACTCTTTCCGATTGGCTGTCTGTTTGTTTCTGTGCACCATAGACGTGGTGAGTAAATAAAACATTTACTGAATTAAACACATTTTGAAGGAAAACTGACCATTTCCCCGTCAATAACTTTTGTTTTACTTCACCAATCAGTGTTTGATTTAATTAACGTGTACGTTGTAACACTTTTTAAATACATTTTTTTAACATTGAAAAAGTATGACCAATAAGGTAATGTACTTAAAATTACCATACGCATAATGTTTCTGATAAGCGTATGAGAATGTGTTCTTGTTGTTAAGGAAGGGTTTCCTTTGATTTAAATTTATTTTTTTTCCCATGTCGACCCTATCTTATAAGCAAACAATGTGCAACACGAAGTAAATTTTTAATTTAAAGATAAAGAACGAACAGAAGCGATTGTTTCAACAGGTTAACTCAAACAAGGGAATTAATAACATATATATTAGAATTATCTCAAAAATAAAAAGCAGATTAAATACAATGTGCACACCATGGGAGGTCCTGGTAAAATAGATGATTTAATCAAATGGGGAAAGTACTTGAAATCTTTATGAGACATAGAAATTAATATTACGCTGTGTTCAGGTCCGTCATTAAAAGAAGAAAAGTAGATAGATGTAGACGCTGGCAACTTACTTGTCGATGTACCCACCTTTTAGATTGGAGCAAATGTTTAAAAAAATTTATTGTAAGAGAAGGTGTAAATGTACTAGTATAATAATAATATAGAAATGGAAATACATTTAAATCAGAGCAAATGGTATGGTTTACATTATACACTCTATAATTAATAGTGAAATGGCAGAGCAAACTCTTTTCTATGTATTTACAAAACAATATAAATAAATGACTACTCAGGCAGTAACAGACAAATGCGAAGTTAATATTAAAGTTCTTATATAAACATCAACTAGCTATTTGCACAGAATACACGTACTGGCAATAGAGAGGGAGAGAGAAAGAGAAAGAGGGAGGAGAGATAGAGAGAGGGGAGAGAGTGGGAGAGAGAGTGATAGAGAGTTTGGAGAAAGAGCGAGAGAAATATAGAGAGGAAGAGAAAGAGAGAATGAAAAAGCGATAGAGAGAGAGAGAGAGAGAGAGAGAACGGGAGAGAGGGAGAGAGAGGAGGGTGAGCAAATGAGAGTGAAAAAGAGACATGAATATGAAAAAAGATAAGGAAAGAGAGTGAGAGAAAGAGAGAGATAAATAAAACGAGAGAACAAGAAAAGATCGTAGAGAGAAAGAGTGAAGGAGAGAAAGAGAGGGAAATAGAACAAATATAGATATGGATGGACATGAATGGAGAGGGGGAGAAAAAAAGAGGACGAGAGAGAGAGAGAGAGAAAGAGGGAAGGGATGGAGAGAGATAAATAGAGTTTGCACAACCTGATCCACACTAGGATATGTACGTCAACAACTTATGACCAATTGTCAGGGGCTGACATTAGTTAAATCAAGGGAATTAATCTTGCAAAATTCATGCACTGAGCTCCCAAAGTCAGAATAGTTGTGTTGACAGAAACCATTCAACATGCTTATTAACCTGCTGCTTAATATTTCCTACAGGTTGTTCTGTCAAGCAACGAGCCATTTTGTTCAGAGCAATCTTCACTGATTCCTTATGGTGGCTCTTGTAATGATTCGACTCAGTGCATAACCAACCATTGTGACATCCTATGTGTCTGTCCAGATGGCACATCCTACAATAAATGTACTGCCTCATGTGTATTACGTACGTATCTTGATTAATAATGAGCATTATATTTTTACCGCAACGTTAGTCGGCACAGCTGTCCAGCTCTTTGGCGTTGATCATAGCTACCTTTATATTTTTTGTTCTATATTCTTGTGGGGGCGATTTGGCTTTCCATATAATTTTTGTTCCCATCTGTCAGTTCCCCTTTCTAAATGTCCCTGGAAATTTTACAAAATCTCCTGACATGGAGTAGCAAGGGAGTTAGCCTTGGCTGGGAAAGGAGAGCATGCTGTAAAATTTGCCACGCCGTATTATGATCAGAAGCACCACAGACAAACTAAGTTTTAGCTACAAAGAGGTCTTCATTTGTGTTGCTGAAGAATGACGTAAACGATCTCCTGCGATATAGGGCTACTCTGGAGACGTTACTTTTAGAACCTAGCTGTAAACATTTCAGCTACACCCAGATCATCACCAACTTTGGCTTTTGTTGGAACAGCAATACTTTACTACAATATGACATTCGCATGTCTCGTATGGCAAGTTTGAAATTTTCACAGAAAAAAAATTAAAATATTTACAAAACAGGAAACCAATTCTTTTTTTCTTTTCAATTCGACTTATTTCCCTATTTTGTACAAAATATTTGACGATATCAGCATTTCGCATGCAATAAGGAGGTCTTCCTTTTACAGGCAGGGTCAGAGAGGATCATGTATTGTTTGAAGTGTGGTCATTTCCTTATTAAAGACTTACAAAAAATAACATTATGATATTGTGGACATATTTCAAGTTTTAGTCATATTAATTAAGGACAAAATTTAAATCTATTTTCAACATCTTAAATAGTATTAGTCATTTATATTTTAATTCTAAAGAATATATTTATCGAAAATTTCAGACTGCAACGTCACATCCTCCAATCCATCTGGACATATTGCTAGTCATAACTACCCATATCCCTATCCCAACCATGAATTGTGCACGTGGACTTTAAGTGGGCCTTCAAATGTTTACTATGTAATCAGGTAAAATAATTTAAAATATTATTATACAGCAATGAGCATAATATATTAGCATAAATGTGTCCCTTGGTTTTTTTACTATTGCATAATTAAACATAATTCCTAATCTAAGTGGGCATTATAATAAAGGAAAATTACAGAATTAATTTTTTTTTTTTTTGCGAGATCCAAAATGCCATTGCTATTCGCTATTGTTAAACTTTTGGCTTACTACACATACACTTTTTTATCTTGTAGTATGAAACTTAAACATTTTTACTTTTTAATTAATACATATTGAAATTTTGACATTAAATGTATATATAAATATGTATTAATTGTTTCTAGTTTTAAGACCAACCATTTTTTCTTCGTCATTAAACTGAGCAATAAACACAAAGGACCAAACTCAAACTGTTTTGCGTCGATGATTTATGCAGTATGTTCTATGCAGATAGCAATAGGACATTGTCTTCAAAACTAGGTTAATTTAAAGTTCCTTGCTCCTTAGCATCTCTTACATGGACATTGAATCCAGTACACGCTGTCAGTACGCGGCACTCAACATCTATGACGGAGCAAGTGAAAGGGACACACAGCAAGATATATTTTGTGGCAGAAACTATGACAGAGCAAAGATTGTGTCTTCCTTAAACAATTACATGCATATTGTTTTTAAGACAAATTATAGTGGTCCAGGCAGAGGCTTCAGTGGAACCTATCAAAGTTTTGGTACATTACACTCTTTCATTCTTAACAATTGAATAATCGTATTATATAATTGTATTTGTAGGTGAGATAAGTGTTAACTTAGCTCAAATTAGATGAATATTATTTGATAAAATCATATTTAGGATCTGTGTTAACTTAGTTCGAATTAAATGAGTATTTTATGATAATATCATATTTTAAGATCTGTGTTAACTTAGTTCGAATTAGATGAATATTATATGATAATATAATATTTTAAGCATTGAGTATTTTTTTTAAATACACATAATAGTTAATTGCTTTCTGTTTTGTCAAAAAATGGCACGGATAATATATGGGTATTTTACTGTTATAAATCTGTCTTTTAAACTGTAAAATAAAACATTTGATACATCGTTTTCATACATTTATACATTTATGTTTTTTTTTAAAAAGCAACAGCATACATTTCTCTCTCTAGCTCACAACGCCACAATAACTGAATCACAAAAGGGATACATTGCCAGTCCAGGTTATCCACACACATACCCGGAAAGATCCTATTTCTCCTGGACCATCATTGGAAGCTCCAGCAGTTATATTCTATTAAGGTCATCCCTTTGATTTATACCAATAAGATTAAGTTTGATCATTTTATGTTTCGATTTAAACCAATTAAGAAAAATTGAAATTATTTCACTACTCAAATCTTCAGAGAAACAACTTCTCACCTTGATAACCGCCTCATATGTCATCCAACGCAACTTGTAGGATATCCAACAACATCTCAGCTTTATGAACACCTCATATGTCATCCAACGCAACTTGTAGTACATCCAACAACATCTCAGCTTTATGAACACCTCATATGTCATTCAACGCAACTTGTAGGACATCCAACAACATCTCAGCTTTATGAACACCTCATATGTCATCCAACGCAACTTGTATGACATCCAACAACATCTCAGCTTTATGAACACCTCATATGTAATCCAACGCAACTTGTAGGACATCCAACAACATCTCAGCTTTATGAACACCTCATATGTCATCCAACGCAACTTGTAGGACATCCAACAACATCTCAGCTTTATGAACACCTCATATGTCATCCAACGCAACTTGTAGGACATCCAACAACATCTCAGCTTTATGAACACCTCATATGTCATCCAACGCAACTTGTAGGACATCCAACAACATCTCAGCTTTATGAACACCTCATATGTCATCCAACGCAACTTGTAGGACATCCAACAACATCTCAGCTTTATGAACACCTCATATGTCATCCAACGCAACTTGTAGGACATCCAACAACATCTCAGCTTTATGAACACCTCATATGTCATCCAACGCAACTTGTAGGACATCCAACAACATCTCAGCTTTATGAACACCTCATATGTCATCCAACGCAACTTGTAGGACATCCAACAACATCTCAGCTTTATGAACACCTCATATGTCATCCAACGCAACTTGTAGGACATCCAACAACATCTCAGCTTTATGAACACCTCATATGTCATCCAACGCAACTTGTAGGACATCCAACAACATCTCAGCTTTATGAACACCTCATATGTCATCCAACGCAACTTGTAGGACATCCAACAACATCTCAGCTTTATGAACACCTCATATGTCATCCAACGCAACTTGTAGGACATCCAACAACATCTCAGCTTTATGAACACCTCATATGTCATCCAACGCAACTTGTAGGACATCCAACAACATCTCAGCTTTATGAACACCTCATATGTCATCCAACGCAACTTGTAGGACATCCAACAACATCTCAGCTTTATGAACACCTCATATGTCATCCAACGCAACTTGTAGGACATCCAGCAACATCTCAGCTTTATGAACACCTCATATGTCACCCAACGCAACTTGTAGGACATACAACAACATATCCGCTGGATGAACACCTCAAATGTCATCCAACGCAACTTGTAGGACATCAAACAACATCTCAGCTGGATGAACACCTCAAATGTCATCCAACGCAACTTGTAGGACATCCAACAACATCTCAGCTTTATGAACACCTCATATGTCACCCAACGCAACTTGTAGGACTTCCAACAACATCTCAGCTGGATGAACACCTCATATGTCATCCAACGCAACTTGTAGGACATCCAGCAACATCTCAGCTTTATGAACACCTCATATGTCACCCAACGCAACTTGTAGGACATCCAACAACATCTCAGCTTTATGAACACCTCATATGTCATCCAACGCAACTTGTAGGACATCCAGCAACATCTCAGCTTTATGAACACCTCATATGTCACCCAACGCAACTTGTAGGACATCCAACAACATCTCAGCTTTATAAAAACATCATATGTCATCCAACGCAACTTGTAGGACATCCAGCAACATCTCAGCTTTATGAACACCTCATATGTCATCCAACGCAACTTTTAGGACATCCAAAAACATCTCAGCTTTATGAACACCTCATATGTCATCCCACGCAACTTGTAGGACATCCAGCAACATCTCAGCTTTATGAACACCTCATATGTCACCCAACGCAACTTGTAGGACATACAACAACATATCCGCTGGATGAACACCTCAAATGTCATCCAACGCAACTTGTAGGACATCAAACAACATCTCAGCTGGATGAACACCTCAAATGTCATCCAACGCAACTTGTAGGACATCCAACAACATCTCAGCTTTATGAACACCTCATATGTCACCCAACGCAACTTGTAGGAC